GGAGCGGGAGGCGACCGAGGCGAGGCAGAGGCGGCGGCGCGCGCGGCGGCGCCTCCGGGTCCTAGAACCGCATGCTCCCGCTCGCTCGGAGCCGGGGATCGGCGGGGTCTGGGTGAGGGGAGGTGGGGAAGGCGGGGGGCGGGGGGCGGTGTCACCGCCTGGGAGTTGGGAGGGGGAAGCCTCCTTGTCGAGGACTGCCGGCAACTGCGAGCGCGGCTTGGAGACCCATGACGGTGCGGCGTTGGGGCGCAAGGACTGGGTCCCCCTCCCGGATTCCCGACTGAGAAGGTGGGAACCCCCTTCCAGGCCCCCCACCCCTTGTTTCTGTCCTCCTCTGTTTAGTCCAGAGAGGAGCTGAGGACCAGAGGGAACCATCTGCAAATGAGAACCCCAAAGCAGGGCGGGGGGCGCAGATTCAGGCCAGCGGAGAGCCCCCCGACCTGTCCCAACCTGGACCAACTCTGCACGGATGCCGACATCCTCAGGGTCGTAGAATGGGAGCGCCTATGGGAAAAGGCAAGCTGCCAGAATCTGGAGACCACCAAGGCGGTCTCAAGGAGAAGCACGGGGGTTGGGGAACAGAGGATTAAAGCCAGCATATCCAGGCTGAGAAAGGAGCAGGCACCGCAGAGGAGGAAAAAAAAAAAGAATTATCTCCTGACGCTGTCACCTCCAGGGACCTAGGGTGGCCGCTCACCTTGGCGAATAATAATCCCTGAAGTCTAGCAATTACAGAAATGCTTCCAGAGGTCTTCTCTCATTCATCCCGACAATGACCAGGGAAGGTAGGTGTTGATATCTTCATTTAGAGATGGGAAAACTGAGGCTCACTGTGGTCAAGTGACTTGCCCAAGGGCACACAACTAATAAGGGGCAGAGAGGACTCTCAAAATCCACACTGCGTTGGGGCTGCTGTCCGAGCCCCCACTGCCCCCTTCATCCAGGGTTGTCCAGAAAGGTGAGCAAGTATTGGGAGGGCTGTAGAACCCCAGGTCTGAGACATAATCTCCAACCTCTCAGTTGCTCCTTTTGTTCGCCATTTAATTTGTAGAGATCCCCAATTACCCCTCCCTGCACTTCCAAGACATTGAGGAGGGAGGGCCCACTAAAGGAGCCCTGGATTTCCTCCAGATCAGGCCAGAGGCCATAAGTATCCCTTCCCCTTAGAGCCTTCTCTTCCCCCTGCGCCCCCCCCCGCGCCCCCCCACACACATCCAGAACCACCAACAGGAGTTAAGCAGGAGCTGGGAAATCTATCTAATTTTAAGGAAGGCCCTGGGATGAAACAGCCCCTTCCCCCAGACCGACCTGATTTAAGCATTTCTTTTGCCAAGGTCACCAGCACCTCTGGTGGGTGAGAGAGATGTGGTTCCTGATTTCATGTCCCAGCCAGGGACCCATAAGGTAAGACAAAGCAGGATTTTCCTTGGGAATGCTAAGAAGGTGATCCATTCTGTGCCTATGACCCTTATCTTCAGCTGAAGATGGTCCAGTCTTGTCAGTGGGTTCTTGCCCTTGAGATTAACTAGGACCTCCTTTTTTTTTTTTTTCTTTTTAAAGAATTTAGTCCCCGGTCCCCTCGATGGTTGTCTCTTTCCATTTAACAACAACAAACCTTTAATTTACACCAGCTGTATGCCCAGCACTGCACTCACTCCTGGAGAATCTGTGGCAGATGAAAAGAGTCCCCATTATTAGGCTGCTCACCCCTAGCAAGGGACAGACTCCAAACACATCTGGGGGAGTGACTGCCACCAGTCAGACTGGTGCCAGGTTTTCATGCTTCCTCTCACCCAGAACTACTTCTTTGGGTAGGAGAAGGGTGGGAGTTGTGTCCCACGGCTGAAAATTCGAGCAGGGTGGGGAGCCCCTAATGGAGCAGTTGCCAGTCTGAGCCCTCAACCCCTGGGGATGCTCTGGCCAACCACCGCCACCCAAGGCCTGGTGGAAACAAGGTTGGGCTAAGTAGAACCTCTTAATGTGGAAAATGATGAGCTCAGCAAGCCTACACCCTGTCGCGTGCACCCTGACGAGAATGTGAGGCACAAAATAAGGGAGAGAATTTAATCAATTATTACCTAATAAATTTGGTCGGCTTGGCAGGAAATGTCTTTCCAATCAGGGTCCACAGAGGAGGAAATCCTAGAAGGGATGCTTGGTGAAGTTTGGAACCAATGCTTTAGTGGGTCTGTGCTTCCCCCTGCTGGGTGAAGGAGGTATGACAGCCAAAACAGGGCGAGGCCTCCAGAGGTGATGGAGATGGAGTCACAGTGTGGGTGACACTGTTGTGGCCTTGTCACCTCGTATGGAGGAATTGTGCAGTCACTGGGGACACTCAGAGCTCAGGTGACTGAGCAGGTCTCCCCAGGAATCTCCCTCCCTCTGCCTGCTCACCATTACTCAGTGGGTACCTCTTAAAATTTAAAAAAAAAAAAAAATTTTTTTTTAAAGGTAATACATACATGTGCTCGGTTTAAAAGAGCAACAGTTTTAATGCATCTTTCCAGAGATGTTTTGGGCATATACAAGCAGCGTGTGTGTGTTTAACACAGATGGTAGCACACGTTCCACAATTTAGCACCTTGCTATTTTCACTTAATAATGTACCTGCCTCTACAAGATCTACATAGTCCTCCATCATATGGATGTGTCATGGTCTCTTTCACTCCTCTCCTCCTAGTGGGTATTTAGTTTGTGTCAGTCTTTTGTTGCAACAGACAATGGTGCCTGCAGGAAATATCTGGGTACATACACTTGTCGGTACTTACGTGTGTATCCATAAGACAAATTTATAAATATGACAGTGCTGAGTCAAAGATTATGCCCTTTGGGGTAGATTTTTGGGAATTTGGATAGATTTGGAATTGCCCTCAAAAAGTTCACACCAATTTGCAACCCCTGTAAATGGGATGCCTGTTTTCCCACATCCTCACTCTGTTATATTAAAGGTATTGTAAGGCCTTTTGGTGTTTGGTGAGGCCGATTTGAAAGTCTTTGTCACAAGGCAGGTAACGATCTGTCTGTTTCTTCAAGGAAGAAACTGTATCTCTTCTGTCCCTATATCTGCAGTGCAGGACTTAAATTGTGAATGAAAGGAAACCGGCTTGCGTTTTGGCGGGGATGGAGGGAGGGGGTGGAGGGTTAGAGCTAAGCAGGAAGCCTGTCCTTTTATTTTTTTTTTTTTTAAGATTTTTTTTTTTTATTTATTCATTCATGAGAGACGGAAAGAGAGAGAGGCAGAGGGAGAAGCAGGCTCCCAAGGAGCCCGATGTGGGACTCGATCCCAGGACCCTGGGATCATGACCTGAGCTGAAGGCAGATGCTTAACCATCTGAGCCACCCAGGAAGCCTGTCCTTAGGGTTACTCTCTTTTCCAAGCCCTGGTCAAGCCCCTGCCCCAAACCCAATAGACCTTCTCCTGCAGGAGCCTCCCAGATTCTGAGATCTGAGGTTGAAGGCCCAGCATTCCCAAAGCAGCTCTCACTTAGCTCTCCTGCATCCCAGGGATGGGTGGCATCATCACTGAACCGCCTCGAGACTGGAAATGAGCCAGGTGTCCAGCTATGGGGGATCCGTGAAACCAGCAATCCAATAGAACTTTCTGCAATGATGGAAATGTTCCGTTCTGTCGGTGCTGTCCAACATGATAGCCACCGGCCACAGGTAGCTATACCGAGCTCTTGAAATGTGGCTAGTGCCACCGAGGACATGAATTTCAAATTTGACTCGATTGTAATTAATTTCAATGTAAATAGCCACATGTGGCTACTATGCTGGACAATGAAAGGTTAAATAAACTATAGTACATCTCCACAATGAAAAAATATGCAGGGGCGCCTGGCTGGCTCAGTCATTAAGCGTCTGCGTTCGGCTCTGGCCGTGATCCCGGGGTCCTGGGATCGAGCCCCGCATAGGCCTCCCTGCTCCTTGGGAAGCCTGCTTCTCCCTCTCCCACTCCCCCTGCTTGTGTTCCCTCTCTCGCTGTGTCTCTCTCTGTCAAATAAATAAATAGAATCTTTAAATAAAATAAAATAAAATAAAAAAGAAAAAATAAATTAAAAAAAAGAAAAAATATGCAGTTGTAAAAAAACAAAAAAGAACCTGTGAGATATTGATATGGAAAGATCTCCAGGATATATTTGGAAGCAAAAATGCCGTGCAAAACAGTATATATGTTGTTACCTTTTGTGTAAGAAAGGGAGGTGGATATAGGAATAAATGTATTTGCTTGAATATATGTCAGCAACGTAACAAAAGTAGTCGCCTATAAGGTGCGGGGAAACAGGGTGGACAAGGCAGAGGTGGAAGCAAGATTTCTCGATGCATTCCTTTCTAAACTGTTTCGATTTTTGAACCATATGTATTTATTCCCTATTCAGAAAGTGAAGGTAAAATAAAGGCAAGTTGCTTGCTAACCAAGGAGAGCCGCTCTATCCCTCTTGTTGGCACCTTGTGGTGGATGAGGAAACCCCACTGTCCTGTTTACGTGACCTACCAGAGGACAGCCCAGGGGAGGGGGAAGGGCAACCCCTCACGGGCCGTACCCCACATGACTCACGTGCCCACACCCAGGAGTGCGTCAGAATCAGAATCTCAGCAGATGGGCCTTTTATGGTCCACCAGGTAACTCTCCAGCACTGAACTATCCTTGTCAACGTCTCCCAGAGAAGAGAGGATAAGCCCTAGTACCAGACCCTTGTCCCTGCCCTATAGACAGCCAGGCCTAAAGACTAGAAAGAAGCCAGGTGATCATAGGTGAAATGGTCCCAGAAGTCTTCCGAGCATCAAGGACACCATAGCAGGGACTTTCTATGTGTCATTCGGAGCTGGATGGCAGCCCTGCAAGGCAGGCCCTATTGCTGTGTCCTCCGAGCTCAGTGTCCTCTGAAATGACTGATTTATCCAAGGCCGCCCAGCTGGTAAACGTCAGAGCTAGGATCTGAATCCAGTCCTAAAACCCCTGAGCCTCAGTTTTCTCATTATGAAAAAATGGTGATAGGATTTCATAGAATTGTTTTTTGGTTTTTGTTTTTTTTTTAAGATTTGATTTATTTATTTGACAGAGAGAGAGAGCTCACACAAGCAGGGCGAGCAGCAGGCAGAGGGAGAGGGAGAAGCTGGCTCCCCACGGAGCAGGAAGTCTGATGTAGGGCTCTATCGATGGGAGGACCCCGGGATCATGACCTGAGCCAAAGGCAGATGCTTAACGGACTGAGCCACCCAGCCGCCCCTCATAGAATTGTTTTAAATAGTAAATAAATTTCAAGTTAAGAGCTAACAGAGACTTTCATTTCCAGCAATACGGTGGTCTATAGGTCCAGAGAAACCCTTCTGGTACAAAACAACTAGAAATGCTAAATAAAAGATAAAGTGTGTGCGTGCGCGTGCGCACGCACACGTGATATTTTCAATGCAAGGCCAAGCTTGCAAGAAAAGAAAATCCCCAAAGGCACAAATCCAAAATGGAACAAGATAAAACCTGGGGCCTCCTAAGGTAGGAGGTTGGAGCAGACACAATCCGCCCCTCTCAAAAGTCAAGGGTGCCCAAAAGGTAACATCCTTGGATAAACATGAAAGAAATAAACCCACCCTGCTGAGAGACAATAGGATACTTGCCCGCCTCAATTTATCAAGAATGTATAACCATTCTACAGTTATATGCACCTAATAGCATAGCTTCAAAATCATAAACAGAAATAGTGGGAAACATAGACAAGTCCACGAATATAAAGGAAGATTTAAATCACCTCCCTCTGGAATTGGTAGTTTAAGCAGACCAAAAAAAAATCAGTAAGTGTGTAGAAGATTTGAACAGTACAACTGACAAGCTTAATTTAATTGAATACTTTGATTTCTCCAGTCAACAACCGGCAAACACACTCTTGCTTTCAGGCACATATTTACAAAAGTGACCACATATTAGATCACAAGGCAAGTCCTGACCAATTCAAAACAATCAAACGTTACTCATTATCTGACAGCAATACAATTAAATTAGAAATCAATAATCAAGGGGCGCCTGGCTGGCTCAGCTGGAAGAGCATGTGACTCTTGATCTCGAGGGTTGCGAGTTTGAGCCCCACGTTGGGTGTAGAGATTACTTAAAAATAAAATCTTAAAAAAAAAAAGAAATCAATCATCAAAAGACAGCATAAAAAGAAAAGACAACCCCGTGCATTTCAAAATGTCAAAATGCACTTCTGAATAATTCATGAGTTGAAATTAGAAAATATTTGGAATAGAATATCAAAAATATTATGTAGAAAATCCTTGGCACAGAGGGCCCTAAAAATGGCAGGAGGAGGATGATAAAGACGCAACAGTATTATGTGGAGTGAGAGGTGTCTAATGAGAGAAACGTGGCAGTAGTTAGTTCTGCGGTCAAAGGAGGGGTGAAGATTGAA